GGCGGGGTAGGGATGAGGCAGACTCAGTTGCATAGGGCAGGCAGTGGCAGCTCCAGGAGGGGTGGCTACGGGGGGGTTACAGGAAGTTTTAGAAAGGCTATAGCCCCACAAACTCCCCCCACCCCACCCCAAGAGCCGCCCTGCTTGGTGAACCAGGGCTCTCAAGGGAAAGGCAGCAGAGCAAAGTACCCCGAGCAGGGGCGGTGCTAGGGGGAGGCTATAGCCCCCCCACACAATTCCCTGTAGCCCTCCCATAGCCACCTTTCCCAGTACCACTGCTGCTGCTTCCTGACCTGCACAGCTGAGTCTGCCCCATCCCCAGCCCTTCCCTGCCCGCTATGAGCTCAGCCCTGGCCCAGAACCACACTCCCCTCCCCCATGCCTGGAAAAGGCTAGTGCAGCCCCTGGCCCCAAGCCCTCAGCGGGCAGCCCGCTATAGCACCACGCACAAACCGGGGGGGGGGGCACACATGCCCCCTACACATCCCTCAGGGGTGCACATAGTGGCAGGGAGCCACCCTTACTCTCCAGCCCTTTAATCAAGTTAGTTCACACTTTGCAGAGTAATGACACTGTTCTAATTTAAGTGTCACCACCATAACAAGGCAAGAAAAAAAATTAATTCTGTTCCAAAGTTCCTTTGTACATAATAGCACATATACCGCTTTACATACATGAACATAAAGTTACTGTGAACATCTTAAGCATTAGCTGTAGCACAAAAAAAAAAAAGAGAACCTATTGATGTCCTCTGGGTTATTTTCCAGATCTAAGCAGAGGAAGGGAATAAAGTGAAAAAAATGCATGCTGGTCACCAGACCCTTTAACTCAACTATGCATTTATGTAAGATACATCTTTGAAATAAAATAAAAAAGTTCTCTGCCTTACAAACAAAAAGCTCAATTTCTGCTGCTAGAATTATTTATATTAATTTTGTATTAAACACTGTGTGTTTTTAGATAGTGTGGAAGCCTAGAGCTTTGAAAGAATGCTGTAGGAAAAGGAAATAAAAATAACCTTTGTATAGTGTATATATCCTTTATCAAATTACTTAAAATCCTTCTCTCTGTATACTTTTCTGCACCCTAATACTAAAAAGCTTATAAAAGTATTTTGTTTATAGTTGAAAGACTTAAAGCATATGCAGAATCCTGAAATACTTGTGCTTTAAATGACAAAAAGAACAAGTTGAAATCTATTCCATTTCTCTCCATTTCAGGTAAGTCAAGCTTAAAGTTGGTACAAAGATGCAAACATTTGTACAACAGTCACAAACTAAGCAAAACAAAGCATACATCACTAAATACTGCAGTCAATAAGTAATATTTATTTTTTTTAAACTTAAATTATGCAAGATTTACAAACCACTTCAATTATTTTATCTGATATCTTGCCAATGACAGTGGCACCACACATGACATCCAACAATGAGGTTAAAAAGTCTCAGGATTTTAAGTCAGCCACAAATCTCTACAGATTAAATGTGGAAGGTTTCGCTGACCCATAGGGGTTGGCTTGATTACACTGGGGTTAAGTTAAGCTTGCTTAAAACCAGGTTGTTGTTTTTTTCAACTGCAATTAATAAAAAAATAATTTAATATGCAAATGTACATTTACAGGGCACTCTGCAAACAGATTAGCTTACTAGTGCTGAAGCTATGGCTCACTGGACAGATCTGACCCATGGAGCCATGTCATCCAGCCCACAGGGTTTCTCATGAATCTAGAAATTTGGCAGTGGGGGAGTGGTGGCAGTGGAGGTGATGGCAGCATTAATTGCCACAGCTTGGGCCAGTGTGTTCCCCCACTGCCAAATTTCCAGACCTGTGGAATGATGCAGCCCCACTCACTAGCACACTGGGTCAATTTGGCACATGGTGTTTCTCCATGGCCACATCACACCCCAGGACTGACCTGTGCACTGACCCCACTCATGGAATCCAGCCCACAGAGTAGCTCAGGAGTTGAGCACCAGTGGATTAGTGCAATCCAGAGTTAGGCAAATCATAAAAGATCAGTTGAGCATATTTGATGCGACTAACCAAATCAATATAAGCGTTGCAGCTGAAACGAAGAAGGGAAGAGCATGATGTCAGAGGTGGAAAGGGAAGATGATTAATAATAGTAGTATTTGAAATTAACTAGGAAGAAGAATCAGAAGAAACAAGTAGAGAGAGGCTAAAAAAGATACAAGTTGTTTAGGGGGTGACTACACCTGAAAGCTTGCGAAGAACTTTTTTCCAACTGTGCAGTTGATCTAATAAAAGATATCATCTCTACCCAAAGAACCTTGCCTGCCACAAGTTGTTTTGGACATTTTAAATTTTATGTTAACTTACGTTCCATGCAATAGTGGATCAAAAGGTGGATGCTGAGCTCCATACACATGTTGGATGCTAAAAAGAGAAGAAAAAAAGTCATCATAAAGCTGATACATTTCTAAAAATATATAAATACAAGTTATTCTTGAGAAGCTGCTCACTAGTAAAGGGAAGTCAAAAAATATTTCAACTGTTTACATTTCAAACTAGAACTCTTGTTCCAAATGAAAGCTGTTACCATATGTACACACCCAACTTAAGCAATTAGCAAAAGCTGTAACATACTACAAGGTAATTTCATGGAAATAAAAGCTGCTTAGATAGGAATCTTGTATTAGCATACCAAGCACACTTTTTAAAGAAAAAATATGTGCGCGCACAGTCAGGTGAATCCCCGTGCATTATCGCACTTAATTAATGTGCATTAAAATCTAGTACTCTATTCTGAGGTACTAGGAAAATGCGCATTAGCCTGCCTTAATGCATATTAAGCGTCACTTAAAACTGCTCTTTAGCTAATGCGCATTAGCCTATCTTAACACACATTAACTAAATAGCAAGGGTTTTTACCAATATTCTAATGCTCATTAAAATAGGTTAATGCACATTAAAGCATGCATGTAGAAATTTATACTGCTTTAAAAAAAGTCCTTCCCTTTTCTGATTCAACACTTCTTGAGGGGGAAGGGGGGGAAGGAGATGAAGCCACTCCAGAAAGATGCCTGTTAAAGAAATTAACCTTATTTTCCTGTACCCAAAGGTGCTATCATATTGGACTTAGTGACCTGAGGAACACTTCATGCTGGAAAGCTTGTCTAAAATCTCTCCCAAACCTTCCACTGGTCCAACAAAAAGATATCAACCCTAATAAACATATTTGCCTCCCACACGTTTCCTGGAGCATCATAGCTACAATATAATTCCAACAAAGCCTCAGCAGTCATAGTAGATGAGGTCAGTCAGTCAGAGACAAAAGATGCAGTATACATAACATGTCATATTAGGGAATAAGAACAATGACAGTATGCAAGCAACAACACATTGAAATAACAGGCTTGTAAACAGAAAAAAAAATACACACATTACCAGGTAGGTGAAATATTAATAACTATCCTTCTCAAAATAAAAGTTTGCTTCCAACTTCAAAAAGGCCTTTGACAAGGTGTCCCATACCATCCTTATAAATAAATTGAGGGGATTTGCCTTAGGTGATTACACGGTAGACTGAGTAGCAAATTGGCTCAAGGGTTGCACTCAGAGGGTGGTAGTGGACAGGTCGGTATCAACCTGGAAAGATATGGGCAGTAGAGTCCCTCAGAGCTCAGTTCTGGGGCCAGTGCTGTTCAACATCTTCATCAGTGATCTGGTTCAGGGGTTGGGAAGCACCCTGTCCAAATTCACGGACGACACAAAATTATGCGGTGCAGCTAACACCCTGGAGAGGAGGAACCAGATCCAGGCTGACCTAGACAGGCTGGGGAAGTGGGCAGAGAACAACAGAATGCAATTCAATAAGAACAAGTGCGCGGTGCCGCATCTAGAGAGGAAGAACTGCCATTGTACCTACAGGCTGGGGGGCGACCTTCTCAGCTGCGCTGAGGCAAAAAAAGATCTTGGAGTCACTGTTGACTCCAGGACGAAAATGAGTCACCAATGTGATGAAGCAGTTGGCAGAGCCAATCGCACCTTGTCATGTATCTGTAGGTGCTTCTCAAACAGGTCCAGGGAGGTGATTCTCCCCCTCTATGCGGCACTGGTCAGACTGCAGCTGGAGTACTGTGTGCAGTTCTGGACACCACAGTTCAAGCAGATGCAGACAACCTGGAGAGGGTCCAAAGAAGAGCCACCCGCCTGATTTGAGGCCTGCAGGGAAGGCCCTACAAGGAAAGGCTAAGGGATCGTACCCTCTTCAGCTTCTCCAAGAGAAGGCTGAGCGGGGACCTTGTGGCGGCATACAAATTCATAAGGGAAGAGCATCAAGAAGTAGGCGACGATCTGTTCACCAGGGCACCCCCTGGAACGACAAGGAACAATGGCCATAACTTTCTAGAGAGAAGGTTTAGGCTGGACATTAGGCGGAAGTTCTTCACGGTCACGGTTGCCAGAATCTGCAATGGGCTCCCAAGAGAGGTGGTGCTCACCCCATCCTTGGGGGTCTTCAAGAGGAGACTAGACAGGCACCTGGCTGGGATCACATGACCCCAGGGTTGGTGACTCTTTTCTTGTCTGCCGGGGCAGGGGGTCAGACTAGATGACCCACAGAGATCCCTTCTGACTATGAATCTATGAAACTTTCAGCTACAGAAACATTTGCTAGAATAAGACTTCAGGGAGAGTAGGGGAAGAGAGGAGAAATGTTGTCTATAATGGATATACTTATACAAACGTTCCTATTAGTAAGCTCATGCCATAGATATACCACTACATGTTCCCTACTGGGTACAGAAATAGCAATATACTCATTTTAAACAAGTACAGGTCTCATGGCAAAGTTCATAGCTTACAACTGATGTTTAATGACATCTGACATAGTACAAGGTCTTCCTGTTACTCAGCATCTTACACAACACAGCTGAAGCAGACTGAAGTACAAAAATAGCTACTATTATTTCTCTCCAGCAAAACCCAGCATGTGAAAATAAAGCATGTGTTATTCTTGCCCAAAAGCTGCAGGCACCTCAAAAGACCTACCTTCTCTCTCCTCTTCTTCAATACCTAAAATGACATCATCAGGCAATGCCTCACACCCTGCTTCCAACAATGTTGATGATTTTCAGCTGTCTGCTTTTCTATATACAAACTATACACGCCTACATAAAAGAACACTACCTAATCAAAACCAGGTGAAGCAAATACTTCAGTGTTGCTTGGGTTTAGTGGTTGGAAGGAGAAAATGCTTCATGGGGGCCTAAAGGCCCCAGTTGAGCAGTCACCATTCTTGGGAAGGCAAGGCAGTGTCGGTAGTAAGAAACACCCTCAAGGACTTTCTGCTTATTAGGAATAACTGCCCCATTCCATCACTCCAAAACAGGGGCAGGAAAAATCCAGGCCACAGGCCTGATGAGGCCCATAGTAAACTATTTCCCAGCAACCTCTGCCCACCTCACTGTTAATAGTTTCCATGGAGACCCCAGCAGCAGCAAGGCTGTGACAGCACAGAGCCAGGGTTTCCATGGAGACTGTCCCCAGAGGCGCTGGCAGGGCACACGGCTCGGCTGAGTAGGGAGCTGCTCCAGGGCCAGGGCTGGGATCTTGCGGCAGGGACAGCGTGGTCTGAACCCGGAGCAAAACTGCTATCCACTGGCTGCCCTCATGCCCTGGGCAGGGGCATGCAGGCAGCGGATCATGGCTCTGCCCCAACTCCAGACCTAGCTGTCACCGCCGCAAGATCCCAGCCCTGGCCCCAGAGCAGCTCCCTGCACAGCCACATGCCCTGCCAGTGCTGCTAGGGTTGATCTCCATGGACACCCTGGCTCTGAGCTGTCATGACCCCACTGCTGTTGGAAGCTGGCTGCAGCAGGGTAGGCAGGGGCTGCTGGGAAAAGGAGTCAAGCAGTGAGCCAGATCCACCAGTTTGCTCACACCTTCTCCAAAGTATGATCACTAACTGGCTGCAGCAGGGTAGGCAGGGGCTGCTGGGAAAAGGAGTCAAGCAGTGAGCCAGATCCACCAGTTTGCTCACACCTTCTCCAAAGTATGATCACTAACTGGCTGCAGCAGGGTAGGCAGGGGCTGCTGGGAAAAGGAGTCAAGCAGTGAGCCAGATCCACCAGTTTGCTCACACCTTCTCCAAAGTATGATCACTAACTTGTGCAATTGCCCCCTTCAGACTGATAAACACTGATAAATTCCCTGCTAGGCTGGTCGTGGAGGGGCCCCCTCCCTAATCAGAGCATCCTGCCAGGGTCTGGCCATGCCCTCCTCAGATCAGCACTGTCCAAGGGACAGGAAGGCTGCTCTAGTGCCCCCAAGCTTCTAGCCTGAGCCACTGCAAGCATGTACCCACATGTCTGGGATGTCTGTACAGTTACAAACTGATCCAGGATAGCCAAGATTAAAAAGCAATGTAAAACCAACTCCAGCTTGGGCAAAGTGCAGCAGCCTGTTGTCATAGCCTGGGAGACCCAAGAATTGTAGCACATGACAACCCCTTAAACCTGGGAAGCTTTACCCTCAGCTCCAATCCGGGGTCATTTCTTCCAGGGACAACTGTTCATTGCACATGTCTGTCCCCAGGCAGTTACCTCCAGGCTTTTGCCTCAAGGTTCTCTATATCAGGGCAACTCTAGTCCTGCATGCACAGAGTCAGATGGATGAACCATCATATATGCAATCATCTTTGCACCCTCCAGCTGCTTCCAGCCTAATGTTTAAAGCCACTAGGCAAGTCAAAAACAAGCAACATCAGTCGCTGCACCTCCAACAAGTCCCTCAAAACAATTGCACATCCCTTAAAACAATGAAATTTCAGTTTATGACATCAAAATAAAGCACTCAGAGGTAAGAGAAGCTCTCTCACTTTGAATGTGACAGTGTGATATGAAGAGGAAGGACCATGAGAAAAGGTCAAAACAACTATATAGGAGGTTGTAGAAACTCGCAAATATCAGCAACTCAATTTGAAGAATTTCTCTGACATCACTAGTTCCCACAGGCTGTGAAGACCAGTTGTTCAGCAGACAAAACCTCTAATGCCAAGGGGCAAGACTGTCCGTGCCCCGAGAAGAACTGCTACTTTATCAGCCAAGGGAAGGAAATCTAGCTGCCCTACTCACTGTCCCATGGTATTAATGTTTGGAGAGCGCTTCAAGACAACTACTTATTTTTATAGCAAGTTAAGGTTTTAGGCAATACAGATTTCATTCTAATTTATAAAAAAATGTGTACCCAATAAGAGTATTTTTCTATTAAGTTTCTTCATTTTTTAAAGAAAAGATCATGGTTGGCAGCATTTGTGTTCCACTTATTTCACTATGAAATCAACAACCCTTTTTCTCTGCCTTTTAACTGCTAGTTAATGGTCTCCTTCACTGCCTGGCTGGCTGCCTAGATCAGTGGTCTCCAAACTTTTTTGATCATGTACCCCTATCAGTAAAAAATTTTGAGCACGCACCCCCAATATATGTATATTTATATTTGCACACCCCTATCAGTAAAAAAAATTTTGAGCATGCACCCCCAATATATGTATATTTATATAAATATAGATATAAAAATAGAAGTTCTAATATTTTCTTCCCGTACCTCAATGGATTGTCTTGCCCACCCCCTTGGGTGCACACACCCCACTTTGGAGACCACTGGCCTAGAAAACAGTCAGGAGCACTGTCAAGGTTGGCCTGAAAAAGCCTTAGACTTATTGAAGATACAAGGAGATTCCTCAAAAAGGAAACCTACAAGCCAACCTAACAGAGTAATTGTGCAGCATTCCCAAGCTGGGAATTTTTAGTTCCCAAGATGACAGAAACAAGCAATGAAGTTTATTTGGGGACAGATCTTCTATTTTTGAAACTGTAGTGTAGACACACCGTGAGATTTCTGTGGGATAACAAGCAATACAGTTCATGGAAAGGCTCGTGGAAGTTCCCCTACAACTCTCACCCATGCAACCAATCGAGAGGCAGGGTTGGGACAGGCTTTCAACAACTCTACTTAGCATGGGTGACAAAAGAGTACTATGCCCTAATAACCCTCACCCTGGCATATGGGCAGCAAAGGGACGGACCAGACAATGCATACAGTATAATGGTGACAAAGTATTTTCTATTACAGCAATAACTCAGGAGACCATATTAAACATTTTGAAATCAGCAAGCCCCAATAACTTGCATCCGGAAATTAGACATGAGCTGGAGAACTGGAGTCTGTTACACGCAGGACATCCAAGAAAGGATCGCGCAAGCCCTCCTAGTTTTATAATCTATGAATTACAATGCACAACTTTCCAGCTAATCTCATATCCTGTATTTACATGTTACTTTTCAGTCCATTCCTTACACATTCTGGCACACCGAGAACCAAGACTCACCAACCTATCCAAAACAACGTCTAGAGCCACTTCCTGCATTTACAGTTATTTTACAATGCTATCCTTTGTACAGACAGTGAATTATTCCCCTCCCTCTGGCAGGTACTCCTCCCCCCTCACAACACTGAATGTCAGCTGCCACCACATTGCCAGTTCTCTTAAGCAGCTGGGTTCCTTCAATGTTCCCCCATCTTCTCGGTCATCTGCAAACAAACTCGATGCTGAAGGCTCAACGCTCAGACACACAGCAGGGCTGTGCAAGCACAGCCGTGGCACCATGTCATTCAGCCCAAAGGCTCCCGCGGGCCTGGAAATTTGGTGGTGGGGGAATGAATGGCTTTTAACATAGCCACTGCTCCTCTGCTGCCAAGTTTCCAAGTCCGGTGCGCGTGCCTGGGATCCAGCCCATAGAGGGTGCCGGCACTGCGAGGGGAACAGCTCCTGCCCTCCTGCAGCTGGGGAAGCCGGCCTCCCCACTGGTGGTGTCCGAACAAACCCAGGCGAATCCTGCGCCGGCTCTCGGCGCCCCGCGGCCGGGGTCCGTGCCGGGACGCTCAAGGCACAAGCTCCACGGGCGCCCGAGCCTCGCACAGCGCGGAGGGCAGGAAGGCACCGACCTCCCCGAGGGCTGCCGGGCACCGGGGCCCCGCGCTCCGGGACGGGCTGGGGCCGAGGCCAGCGCTGCTCCGCTCACCTCCCCGGCACCTTGGCCGCGCTGCGCTTCCAGAACTGCTTGCGGCCGCCGTCGCTCGCCATGTCTGCGCCAGCTCATGCCCCGGCCGCTCGCCCGGGCCGGCCCCGCGGGGCTCACTCCATCCAGCCCCCTGCCCCTAGAGCCAGCAGAGCGCTGCCATGTTGACACCGCGCAACAAATGCTGCCCCCATTGGCCGCCCGAAGCCGGCCTGAGGCTTGACCCAATCAGAAGTAACGTTACTGTCTGGTGGGTGCGAGTCGTCCAATCAGGGCTGTCGTCGGCCCAGAGGGAGCAACAACCCCAGGGCTGCTCTCCCTTTCCCTTTCCCTCCCCCTGGGGGCAGACCCTCGGGCCCGCGTCTGTGCAGTCACTTCGCTGCTAGGATAGGGCACAGTTAAGACGAGGAAGAGCCCGAATGTACCGTCATTGGAGGCAGCTAAATGATGCAACGTAGGCAAAGTCCAAGGCGTTCTTGGCAGGCAAGGTTCTTTGGGTGAATCTGCTATCTATTATTAGACCAACCTACATAGTTGGGAAAAAAATTCTTAGCAAGCTTTCGGGTTTAAAAACCCTTAATCATTTAAGTTGGTCTAATAAAAGATAGCAGATTCACCCAAAGAGCCTTTTCTGCTGGTGTCCTTAGACCAACACAGCTACCACTTACACCCAAGTTACTCTTGGGGAGTTTTAACTGAGTTTTGGGTCTGCTGAGGGCTTGCCTCAACATAAAGAAATGCTTAAGCTTTGATGCCCCAGTTCACACTGGCTCACTGGTGACTTTCATCAAGCAGTATAAAGTAAATCAGAAGACTTATTTCCATACATATTTACACACTTATTTGCAAATTGTTTCAGTGTACAATAGTTTTTCAGCAAATGCAATGCTCTTGAGCTTCCAATACAATATTTTCATATTCAAGACCTTGCAACACTGCTTTCTGGTGAGCTGAAGCAAAGTGGGTGGAGTGAGAGGGTAAAGCCTTGTCTGTCCTGCACTGCAGCTCCCCCAAGCTCTGGCCCCTGGGTGGGGGCTCCTGCAGTTTCTTCCTTTGCCTCCCTCGCTGGGAGTAGCCACCCTATAACACTCCAGGGCTAGGGACAGACATTCAGAAAGCCTGAGCCTGAATTGATTCAACCTTTGCAGGTTAGTCTAACCTGGCCAGGCTAAATTAGTCTGTAAATGAACAGACATCCCAAACATGCAGGCACATCCCTGCAGTGGCTCAGGCTAGAAGTCTGGAGGTGCTAGAGCCACCCTCCCTTCCCTTCCACAAAGCTGAGCTGAGGCAGGCATGGCCAGGTCCCATAAGGACACTCTGATTAAGGAGGGGTTCCCCCCACTCTTGGCCAGCTCAGCAGGGAACTGATAACACAGGGCTTATCACCCCTAACTCAGTGTTTATCACCCCATTAGGAAAACAACAGAGGGACATTACCAGCTACCTTTCATTTCTCCCGTTGTCCTGTGTGCCACAGCATGGACCATAGCCAGCATGTGGTCTGCTAGCTAATACACAAACACCTCTAAGCAAGGTGGGGGAAAGGGAGGAATTCCTGCTTAGTAGGGAGTGGTGAGGAAGAGGAGAAGCAGCATGCAAATCTCTGCCAGAGCTGCAGCCAGGGAGCAGAGGGGAGGGGCCAGCCCTGCTGCGGAGCAAAAAGTCCTGCCCAACCCAGAGAGCATCCCAGGATGCTGGTGGGACTTTTATTTAACATAAACCAGGAAAGAGCTGGGGATAGACATTACACATAAACCAGTTTAAGTGATCAGAAATTGGTTTAAACCTGTAACAGAACAAATGTTCAGCGCACATAAACCAGTTTGAAAATGGCTGAAATCAGTTTGAGACAAACCTGTTTGAATGTAGTATCAGACTTAACTAATTTGGCTCAAACCGGTTTATGCAATGTCTGTACCAGGAGACTGCTGAAAGTCATGCAGGAGATAAATGATAGGGCATTCATTAAAATTAATATTAGATGTTGAATCCAATTGATACAGTAATTCAGTGGGTTTTTAAAATGTAATAGCAATGTGCCTTTGCCTTCCTGATGTAAAGTCTACACATTGTAATCTGTAACTGATGTACACAAGCACGTGGGTGTGACAGCTGAAATTATGTCTGTGTGATAAAATGCTTATTAAAAGCTCTGTGAAAATTAGACCAAGTGTTTTTCTGTCATTTGTTCAGATGTTAAGCTATATGTTGTTGTTAAGTGCCTAATTAAAGTCAAAGAGTAATGAGGCCTAGTAAATTTTGCAAGGCCTTGTAGAAGTAGTGGTAGCCCCTCTGGCATAGTAAAAATAAACCTTATCAGAAGAATGCAAGGCTTATACTGCTATTGGTCAGTCCTAAGGATAATTATAATGGGAGAATCTGGATGGCTGTAAGTTATCAGCATAGCTCAGAAGTTATAAATTGGCTGGCACATCCGGAAATCATTCAGAAGGAAAATGCAGCTCTGTGAAAGAAACTACTAATTAGCTGCTAACCTGGATCAGTGGGCCAGTGGATCTCGAGGAGCCCAAGGACTGAATACCAGGGTCCTTCCCAGTACCCCTCAGACAGCACTGATCGGGGACACCTGACTTCACTGAGCTTTGCAGAAGAGAAACTTGTCATACATCAGGCATCAGAGGGGACTGCCGATAAGTTGCCAACGTGAATTATTATTGTCTGTCATTGTAGCTTTATTATTTATGCGTAGTTGTGTGTTTGTTAAGTCAATAAACTTTTCTTGCCTTTCTACCCCCAACCACACTCTCAAGCCTGAACCCTCCGTAGGTGGCTGGGACAGTGGGCATGTTCATATTGTGTGTTGCAGATACATTGGTGTACCGGACATTTCCTGGAATAGATTCAAACAGAGACAACAACCCTACTCCCTCCAGCCCATCACCCTCACCCCCTTCATATGGGTGGATCTAGGATTTTGACTGGGGTAGGAGCCGGGGTAGACAGTGAGGTGCATCACCCCATAGAACACAGCTCTCATTTCTCTCCAGTTAAGAAGGAACTAGCAGCTTCACTAACAAGGAGGGGCCTAGAGCTACAATATTCAAATTAAGATTGAAGCAAAGAAAAAAAATGTTGGAATGTGTATTCATTTGCTCTATCATTAATTACGTATAAATTATATATTAAAATACAACAAACCAGGGTAAAATAACCAAAAGATGTTGTTCCATGTGGCCTAGAGTCATTATAATTAGATGTACACCTCCTTTTCAGATTCATAAAACAAAATGAAGCCTTGAGCATCTGGCTAGTGCCTCTAATGCTTCACTGAAAGGGATTTCCACACCTGAGCTACTGTGAGTTAATATTTCCACTCCTGACTTACTGCTTTTAGCTAGGGAATTCCTCAAAGGGAATTTACAAAACACCTTTCATAAACAGCCTGCAAACTTCACTTCATAAATTTGCTGGATACAAAAAATCATGGACTAAATGTAGACATCGGATTTATGGCACATTATAGCCTGCTTGCCATTCAATAACGCCAGATAACCTCTCTGCATTTTGCCAGCTATGTTTTATCACCAGTCAACATTCGCCTCTTCTGTTTTCCCCACACCTGCCTGCCTCACACCTATTAACTCCAATCTCCTCTGACTTCCTTGCAATGCATTTGCATTTTCACAGACCTGCATTGTTGTTATTGGCTAAAGCTTCTATTCAACCCTACAGACTAGACAAACACCAGCAAACTCTCCCTGTGCCTAAAGAAGGGTGCTTGTGCCCAAAAGCTTGTAAAGAATAATTTTTCCAACTATTCAGTTAGTCTAATAAAAGATATCACAGTTACCCAAATAAGCATGTCTGCCTATGTTTTTAGCTAGGGTTTTAGCAGCTGTAAAATTGGAGCTGCATGACTAGGAGCAGCTAACGGACACTATTATTGCAAAAGTAAGGATAGCTAGAGTAATGGAACCATTAAAGATGATTTAAAAGGAAAGAGAGTTGTTAACACCTGTGGAATGAAGTTTAGAAGGAATCAAGCAAATTATAATAATCCATTAAGTCAATTGACTCTCTCTAAATAGAAGTGCCGCTGCCACTGCCAGGCAGTTGGCTTGAAACTTTGAATGAACCAGGAATTAAAGGGAAGTGCAACTGCATCAGTGCACCTTCTCCCCCTACCACCCAGATCTGCCCTGCCCCTTCACCTTAAATAATCCATCCTAGGAAAGCAGAAAAGAGTGGAAATGACAAAGAGTGTAGTTAAGGCAGTAGTGTTGATGTGGGATCTTTGTTTTTAATTTCCAGCCATGTTTCTCAGGCGGATCATAGTATTCTAGACAGCATAGTAACTGTTTTTAATGGCTTGTCTTGATAAGCAATATAAAGCTTGTTCCAAAGCTCCATTAATGTTTTTGTAATAATAGTAAAAGATCCTGGGCCATATTTTGAAAAGGTTTGTACTCTGCAGTCTGCTTACACCGTGTAAAATGAAGAAGGTGCAAAGTCTGGTGCAAGATCAAGTCATGTGTTTCTATTATTGAGTGATTTGGATCCACAAGTATCTTGCTTATCTTCCAGCAAACATAATGGGTTCATGTTGTGTATTGCTTGGAGTCTTCTTCCTACTGGCAGGAATATTTTTTCACTTTGCATTCTGTTGCCAGATTAAAACCATTTAATACTAGAATATCTCTGAGCAAGTGGAGTCCCCTGTGGTTTAGCAGTAAAATCCTTGTCTGCCACACAGGAGTCCTTGGATTTGTTCCCGAATGCTTATACAACTACAGCTATGGAGGCACCAAATGTGTGGACTCTGTATGGCCTTTGGATTCTGTCTCAGTGGCCGAAAGTGGGGATGGAAGGTCTGGACAGCCTCCACTCCTCCATACTTCTGCTTAGGCATATGTGTCAAAAGTCTGGGTGACCTCTCATGCATACACCATGATCTGGAAGGATCAACGGTTGCCAAAACCAATCTCTGAGCAACAAGACTTCTTAGTTAATTAAAACATAGCACATCATTGGCCGCATAGAACTGTTTCATGTTCTATGACCCAATATTTGTATTGGCTTTCAGGACACTGTGGTATTTAAAATAAAAGCTGGAAGTGAGGAAGAAGTCTCCATCCAGTTCTTTTTTTGAATATCCTCAGTCATGTTTCCATTTATCGAATTCCTTGGCAAGTGAAAAGAAGATTATAAGTG